GGCCTGCCATCTCCACCGATGAGTAAGCTCTCTCCCCCCTGCGAGTAAGACTGGCTGTAAATCACAGCGAGGAAGGTTTAATTATAGCGGTGCTGCGCCTACTGCTACAGAGAGGCTTCTACATTTTAAACCACTAGTTTCAGGAGTTTGTAACTGCCGCAGAAAAAAATAAAGAATTTACAGAACAGAAACTTCACCCTAAAAAACATTTTTCAATTAGTTCTACGTTTCACATTCTTTTGTGCTCATGTACAATCAATAATCCAGAACTGAAAGAAGTTGCATTTTTTTAAAGTTGTCTTCCCCCCCACCTTGCCTTTTCTTTTTTAAAGTAGAATTTGTATTTGTCATTTGTGGTTCCATTCTAAAATCTAACACTTCTTATTCATGACTGAGTTAAAATCACTACACTCCTGACAAAATATGAAAAAAACCCATGCAGGTGTTCATTTGAAAAACTATGTGTATGTATTTGTCTGGTCTTTCTTATTCTATTTGCCAGAATATCAGTTTTAAGCAAGAATGCATTGCAAAAATCTCTCTCCTGCAGTATCTTTACAAAAACATGTATTTTATTCCAGTCAATGTTCATCTTCTCATTAGACTGTTCTGATTAGCTTAATGCACAACTTCTACTTCCTCAATCACAAAATTGCTCTTGCCATCCTTTTCCCTTTCCATCACAGATCTGCAATCACTTTAAACTTCATAAATTTCATTCTAAACTTCTTAATTTCTTATTAACACAAATATACACCTATGCCAACTCTTTAACATGTGGATACATTTTTTTTCGACTTGCCATCTTAAAAATTAGCCTGTTTTCCCAGATACACAGCACTCCTGAAATCAAGAGTTACCCTCCAACCATGTACATCCAAGCTTCTTTTTGGGCAAAACTCCCAGTCTGTTTTTCCAATCCAGTAGTACTTTCTTAGATAATCGTGATAAACATCTGTCATCCCTTCATTTCTTCTTTCCTGCTGTTATAACTTTTGGTTACACCAACAAATTTCAAACAACGTAAGTGGTAATAAACGCTGTAAATACTAGGAGAGAGCCACAGGAGTAGTTCCATTCAAGGAAACGAGCTTAAACTCGTACATTTATCAAGTTCTGATTGTCTTGCTAGTTATCAAAAAAATACAAGACTACTTTCAAGCCAGACATCTTAAAATGTTGCCACTTCCCCAACTGTAGCAGGCCATGACAGTTTTGACAGCATGTATGGGACAGAGAAATCAGAAGAAGATGGATGAAGAAAGACTGAAACGAGAGGAGAGAATGATATCCAAAATTAAATAAACAATGGGGATAATTGCATATAGGAATATAGGCATATAGGATGCAAATCCATGAAAAACTCAGAGAAGTAATTTTCCCCTCTCTTTACCTTCATTCCCATATTGCAACTGGACTGTATTTCACAATTGCTAGTTCATTCTACTCTCTTAAAACTAGACACAGCTTCTGTGACCAATCTCAGTACAATTTCACAGGATCACAAAAATGCTGTTTGGAGGCTGTCCAGTCCCGACGTCACACTCAAAATAGTATCCACACTAGATCACGTCAGCCACAGGTTGGTCTGATTCTCAAAAACCTTCAAAAACAGAAATTCCCCAGCCTCCATGGACAACCCGCTCCTGTGCTGCACCACATTCCTAACAAAGAAGATTTTCCTAAGGTTCAATCTGAATCTCCCAGTCAGGGGCCTCGGCCCTCCTTAAACAGCATGTCACCGGTGAGAAGAGCTTAAACTTGTTGTCTTTTGCAACTACCCTTCGAGGAGCTGCAGGCTGCCTTTAGATCGCCTTTCTCCTCCTCCACAGCAGACTCCAGAAAGCTCAGCCCCCTCAAGCGCTCATCACTGATCCTGTGCTCAGGCCCCTACATCCTGGTGGTCCCCTCCTGGGCTCCCAGCATTCCTCTTGACCCACTGGCTACAGTCACTTTGGCACGTAGTTACTTTTATCTATGAGGAAGGGTGCACTGTTTGACTGCTGGCCACCCTGCCACCCATCAAAGCCCCCAGGTCCTTTCCAGCAGGGCTGTGACCCAGTCCCTCAGTTGTCGGCCTGTGCCAGTGCTTCAGGTTGTCCTCTGCACTTCAACATGGGCTCTAGGATCAGCCTTTCATGTGATGTGCTCATTACCAGCGAACAGTCAGATATGGGCACACCGTTCTCTACACTCTGATCCCAGCTAACAATCTGTTCACCCAGTCCAGAATTCCTTAGTTTCCAAATGAGAATGTTTTTGAGGATTGTTTCAAAAGCCTTAAGAAACTGAAGGTACATTACACTCTCTATTCCCTTCCTCACAGTCTTTTCAGTGTAGAAGGCAGTCAGGTCAATCAAACATTATTTGCCCCTGGCAAATCTGTAAGTTGAGTAGTCCTGACTATCTTCGTGTCCTTTGGAGGTCTGGAAATAGATTCAGAGATGTGCTTAGACCTTTCCAGCAGCTGAGGTGAGTCTGATCACTATATAGTACTTTCATTCTCCTTGCCTTTCTTAAGGATGGGTGTAACGTTAACCTTTTCTCAAATGGCAAAGATTTCACTTAACCATCATGACTATCCACAAATGAATAACAGCAGCCTTATAGTCACACTGGCATTGCCCTTTGGATCTGATCTTATGTATCTGAATTTATAAGGGCACTTCTGATACTCACCATTCAACCCAATATTTTCAGAGTATACTAACTGTTCTAGACACCAAGTACAAATTGACAGATAATCAAAGCATATTAGCATTTAAAATAATAATAAAAAAATTAGCTCCAAGAAACACAGAGAAGGCAACAGAAGTACAAATTTATCTATATTACTCTGCCAATACTTTTGCAAGTAGAATGGAAAGTACTGCATCAGAATTCATCTAGGCAACTACAAGAATTCTTTTCAGAAAAAAATAATTTTGAAGGGTGCAGGGGAATTGTGTGTGGGAGTGTTTCCTTTTTTTTTGTTCTTGTACAGAAACCTTGCTGTAGCTTCATGCCAATGAGACTTGCATGAAAGTAAATAAATTTTCTCTAGGCTATCTTGTTTGAATTCAGGTCAGTAGTGTAAACTGCATTAGTGTATATACTGATGTAATCTAAGATAGGTTTGCTGACAGCCATTTTTGGTAGGAGTCCACCCCTGCTAGTTTTTTGGCTTTTCTCCTGAAATCAGGAAGAAGAGAACCAGCTATAGACACAGATAGGGACAGTATATCATAAATGGGCACCTTTTAGTTCAGCATTTATGGAGTTTTCCAGTCCTTCACATAGGCCACATGGGACAACTTTTAGGCATTATGAAGACTGATTAAATATAGCTATACTGGTTGCTTTCTAGTTCATAATCAGTTTCCTGTCTTTTTTATTTCAATTTATCCCATGTTTCTTTTACCTTTTCACCTGCCCTTGGTTTAAGAAACAGGTATGCTGTCAATCTTAAAAGGATATTTTGATATGAAAAATGTAATAATTTTGCAGTGTTATAACTGTATTGCTGTTTTAAACTTTAATCTTAATCCATAACCACAGATAATGCAATTTAAACTGTAACTATAACTAGTCTTAAGAGACCCGCAATTTAAAATGAACACAGTATTAGGAAGTCCATCTCTAATATGTTAATTCTTATGATGACAGTGACTAATATAGTGGATTGTTTTAAGAATGAACAGTTTTTGTGTACTTTGAAACACATTTTACTTTTTTTTTTCTGTATTAATGCTACAGAAAGACATCTGAGTGAAATAATGACAATTGTCATATAACTGAAATAAGATAGAAAGATAAGATAGAAAGTTAAGGTTGTTAGAGAGAGATGACTGGCATCAGTGGCCAAGACAGTCTGAGACCTGTAATTCTTATCATGCAACAATTCCTTACTTATGTATGGCAGAAGAGCAGCATGCAGAAGGGTGCTGTAGACCCTATCACTAACGGGGCAGTTTTACAGGTTGCTGAATTGACCTAGCCCAAGTCAGTGATCTGTTTTACAGAACAGCATGGTGTGATTGTGCTCAAACACCCAGAAAGTTTTGCTTGACAAGAGTCACAGAGCAAAGCCTTAGTTTTACATTGCCATATAGCATTTGTGATCAGCTTCAGTTTTGTAGTGATTATAATTGCCAATACAGAAAATAATCACCAAGTTTCTGGAAGTGAAATAAATCCAA